GTGTGTGTGTGTGTGTGTGTGTTCCCTCTCTGTTGTTTCCTGCTCTCCTCTCTTTGACCTGCCCTCGTGCTGCTGTAACGTTCAGGTTCCCTCCTGTGTGTGAGTAAAGCTGGGTGTCATCATGTATGCAGAGCACTAAGATGCATTACGATGCTGACCCTGAACTGGACCAACACAAACCAGGCCTGTGTGTTTGTCCTGCAGCTGAAACTCCACCAGAGAAACACACATGCTCCAGCACTGCGAACACGCTGAGTCACTGTGTGGACACGAAACGAAACAACAGTGTTTCCTGTTGTTTGGAATGTCTCTCCTTATCTCACCGAGCAGACACAGGACCGGGCGGTGCGGGTGTTAAAAACAAACGAACTCACCTGTAATGTCTTGCAGGCCTTTTTCATTAGCTCCTTCAGATCTTTGGCTGCAACTCCATACTTTGTGTTTTCACTACAACTCCGTATTTTCACCGGCTTACTTTTCCTGAACAACCCAAACATGTCCCCCGGTCAGTGTTTGTACCTACCGCTCCCTCTTCCTCTTCCTCTTCACGCGGAACACATGCGGCGGTCGTGTGCTACTGCCCTCTAGTGGCTGTCTCCTCTGTTGGCTTGTGTTTCTTTCAGTGTGGATGCTGATGGAGACACAGAATGTGTTTTTACACAGCTACAACTTTCTGCAGCATGATTACATTATGCCGAAACACAACATATTATTTCTGGTCAAAGCTATAAGAGAAAATCCATGCTTCACCATTACTATTTGTGGTTTACAGTTTTTTTCCAGCTATGAGTTTCATGTATGTTGAATCCATCTGTGAAATATTTGTTTAATAGTTATTAAATTGTTTACTGACAAGCTTGAGTTGTTAAGAATGGACAGTTTCACATTTACATTGTCGTCTTCGACTCTGCTCATATTCCCATCCACGGTCTTCGAGTAGATAATTGAACATATTGTTTCTGTCGCCACCAAGAGAAAGGAGATGGTCAATGAAGTTTTGCTGAAAGTCACCCCAGACTGCACCAGTGAACATCCAGGGCTTGGACATTGAGAGATGTGGGGGGTTATAGATACCCGAGTGTTCACCTGTACATGAGAGGCCAGACTCCATCATCTGCTGAGGAGACTGAGGACTGGGCAGGGCACTGTTAAGGGCTTTTCATGACACTGTGGTGGCTTCCGTAGTGTTTACATCGGTGTACTGTATCTTGGGAGTGTGAATGCACTGAGAGGGACAAAAAAGACTGAACTAACTGGTTAGCAGAGCCAGCTCGTTTCTGGACTGCCCTCTGGATTTCACTGAGGAAGTGGTTGAGAGGAGGACGTGGGCGAAGTTGAACTCCATCATGGACAACACCTCTCACCTCCTACACAGCACTGTGGAGACCCTCAGCAGCTCTGTCAGCAGCAGCCTGCTGCACCCAGAGTGTAAGAAGGAACACTTCCACAGGTCCTTTATTCCCACAGCAGTCAGACTCTGAACTACTGAATCCACAACATTAAATGAATACTGGCAGTTTTTTTCAACCAATGCATGTGTGGCCTGTGTGAAAGCCAAATGAAATAGACTAATGGGACTGATTGCAAACACAATCATTTATAGTACTATTTATATTATAGTTAATAGTTCTGTCTCAGGTCCTGAAATAAAACTGTATGTGTATAGTTAAAAGATGAGGCTGAGAGCAGGGGAATCAGAGGATGACTCCTGTAAATGTTCCAATAGGATGATGTAGTGTTTCCTCTGAGACTCTTCTTGTTTCACAACATCGAGGTCATAAATACACCACTGACAAATATAAAGTTTATGTTTTCCTCCTGTAAGTTCTGATCGTGTACCGGTTTTGTTTCGTCTTATTTATGAAGGAGCATCACTGAGGAGGCAACGTGAACATTACCATAGCAACTGATGCAGCACGATAGGATGTACCAAATGAAAGGATAAGAGGGTCAAAGACGACCTTTGTGAAATACTGTTCACGTGTTTTTTTTACAAGGTAAATTCATTCTTCGGATGATTAAATATCTCACATACTCAAATGATACGTTTCCTATTATGTATTACTCTCAAACACTCCAGGTGAAACTACGGATTTCCTCGAGTAACCCCTCTGCACGGAATAGTAGCGTCTGATTTCAATATGGCGCCCGCTGGTTTGAAAATCTAGACGCTTGACAAAGATAATATTCTCTGTAACCACTCGACAGGACCATGTTCGACTCGCGTCTTTAACCAGCCAGAGAGAATGGTCCAGACAGAAGACACGTCCACCATGGAGGAGGGCTGGAGAGAAGTGTTCGAGAGGAGCCGGCTGGTTCCTCCACCCAGCCACACGGTCCGCCTGGCTGCGGAGAGCCACCTCGCCCAGTCCCACGGCTTCCAGCTCAGCCTCAGCCGGCTCACTGCAGCTCAGCCCCCGCAGGTGACAGCTCTCACACACCGCTGAATGCTCGCTAGTGCCCCGGGGAGTGTAACAGTTCTGCGGGAATTCAGTGATGGTTAAACACGCAAACATTTGGTGCAGGTCTGAAGTTGTCACGTAGTTAAGATCTCGCCCAGATAGTTCGTGATTCGTCACTGTGAATGAAGAGGTCAGGCAGAAGTCCGTCTGAAGAGTGTTTACATTTTAAATGACTCTACATTCTATCAAACTTTGACTTGACTCGTGCAGAGTGTGAGCATGTTAGAGGTCCTCTTTTAAAGGTTCAGCGTGTAGACTTTAGTGACATCTACTGGTGAAGTTGCATGTTGCAGCTGATTACCCCCTCACCTCACCCAAACATGAAATCAGAATCAGAAATACTTAATTGATCCCAGGAGGAAATTGTGTTTGTTACAATTGCTCCATGCAAGAGTAGAAATAAGCAAATAAAGATTAAAAAATACATATAAAATAAAATCTGAAGAAAGAGAACCTGTGGTGGCCTTCAGCTGTCATAAGAACTCAAAAGGTGTTTAGTTTGTCCAGTCTGGGTTACTGGAAAAAAACATGGTGGCCTCCGTAGAGAGGACCATCGCCTGATGTAAATATAAAGTATTTGAATATAAAGTATTTAAATATAAAAGGCCCATTCTAGGGTAAAGAAAACAACAATTTGTTTGATTTAGATTAAACACACTAGTGAACATCACTCCAATTTTTTATATTAAATTTCTTCCAATAGATCCTTTTCACCATTACACTAGATCTTACAGACTGATACTTTAAATTCTGTTGAGAGATCATCCTTCACAGTTACTCCAAACATGTGCGACACCCACTGATACCTGTCTCTAAATAAACTCAAAATAACTTGGACGTTACAGAAAGAGGTAATAGATGTATTGTATGTATGCATAAAATGTATGTTGTGTATTGGATGTCAAAAGATCTTGACATAAACTAATTTCAGGATATTTGTTGGGAGGTTGGTAATGTTAAGGCTTTTGGGACTGGTATTAACCTGTGACTTTGATCTATTATTGTTATTAAGTTGATTTCACGCACCATAGATACAAAATACATCAATGAAAGAAACCAGTAATGGCTTACATGAAAACCAGAAGGGCACTTAGTAGAGCACATACCTCCGCCAAGGCCCAATATACAAATTAAATCAAGCTGCACCACATTTTGCAGATGTGATACCAGTTCCTTTAATGTGGAAAATATTTTCCTGGATCTGCCCTCTGATCCAGATTCCCACCAAAGTTTTACTGAATTCGTCCCTCACCCCATCCTCCCACCAAGATCCGTGGTACTCCAAGGAGTTGTTTTTGTGTAATCTTGCATACACTCACACAAACAAACTAATGGACAGGGGTGAAAACATATCCTCCTTGAAGGAGTTAAAGACTACATTCAAAACATACATAATTAGCAATGCAGGTTCTAATATTCTCTATATTGATATCTTCCCCTTTTAGTCACCAGAGATGCCAGAGGTGGAAGAAGACCTGACCTACCAGCTGCGGGTGACCCTGTTTGATGAAAATCACCAGCACTTCTTTGGGAAAACATGGAAGAGTCCGACCCAGAAGATGAAAAATGGCAAGATCTCCTTCAATGAGGTAGCCTTACTATGACAGGCATTCCACTGAAACAAGGCTATTTATTTTAAATGGCACACTGCTTTAATTTACAGCATTCTTTATGTAGACTTTGTATGAAACTCCTCTAATGCTGATTTTAAGCAGTGAGACTTTAAATAGTAGCAATAACAAAGTTCAACAAAATGAAAGTTGAGAAACATAACCCTAACCACCTGGACTTTGCGGATCGGCCGATACCGAGTACAGACCAGATATAATGTACCTTAGACATTGCTGTTTTACTTGTGGAACTTTCTGAGTGAACTATTGCCAAATTGCTGACAATTGCTAGCTCTTGCTAATGCTACACTACTGGAAAACACCTCCTTCACCAATCTGAAAACAGTACTTGCTAGTGGCAGTATAGCACATCTGCAGTTTTGTTGCAGCAAAGAAGAATAAAGTATACCAGATGTGATATCAGATTGAATACAGTAGATTCGTGCTTGTACTTGATCCAACATTTTAAGCAGTATTTTCGATAAAGGGATCAGTGTGATAAAATCCAAAGGTATTATTTATTTCAAGTTTAATAATCAAACTCCCCCTCTCTCCTTCACCTGGGCTGTTCTCCTTCAACAGTATGTTTTGATTAGATTTAGTTGACCGTGATCTGTCATCATAAGCAAACAGCCCCACGGGGGCAATGCAATAACGGCAAAATTCCTCTATTATGATATATGTAACTTCATTCAGTAGTATCAGGGGGATTCAGGTTCAGGAGTATTACAATAGATAAAACAGCCATAAAGGAGTCCTGCTCACTGATTTGCAACACTGCCCACAATGAAACTAATATGTTCCAGTATATTAAGCGGAGAGCTGTCATGGTGCAAATTGTATAGAAAAACCTCTCACAGTGGCAAATTTAAAAAACACATCAATGGGAAAACAGAGTTTGACACAACCGGGAAATTACATTCTGCAAAGGTTCACAGAGGCCAGAATCAAATCAAAGTTGCAGTTTGTGATGATTATCACAGCTGAGTCACCACAATTCTCCAAAACTCCTCAGACTTTGAAAGAAAACAATACGTTCATGTCATTCATGATCGCTCATCAGAAGAAACTAATAGTACAAAAACAGATTTCATAAAGGCCCTACAAACCCACAAGTTTCACTTACTTGACCCAATCAGACCTCTGCTCGGGTTAGAGGTAGATGGAGTAATGTGCCTGGGCTATGTGATGTTACTTGAAAGATGTAACTGCTGGAACCCTAACAGGTGCAACAAAACTAACAGGAGGGTCAGACAAACCTCATTCAAACTGTCTGTGTACGCTCAGTCCCAGTTGCACAGTCAGACCAACAGCCGCCTGCAAAATTTCTACCCGTGGTTTGGCCAAAAGTAAACATGCACTTGGAGTTGGTAGCATGGCCCCTGGGGAATTAGACTGTGCTTTTTCAAACATTTCTATCATCAACTTCTTTCACTGTCCTTGCACTCACCATAGCCAAACAGCATCCTTACTTCTCTGGAGGTTTCCCTGGT